CTGATGGTCCCTGTTTTAACCCAATAAGTAAAAGTGGAAATCCTCACTCAGTCAAAGCCATTTTCTTTTTACCAGCAGTTAATACAAGGCTGGTATTATGAACAAGGGCGTTTCTGAGACAGAAAAAAGATAGTTGTTTTAACCTAAATTGCAAAGGAACAAGTAATAGGTTTATTCCATGCTGAAAAGAGAAGAGAGAAAACACAATGTTCCGGCTGTGAATTCTTCTTCAGGTGTGAGAAAGACAGGGCAGACAGCAAAGATTAAATAGCACAGAAGAACAAAAGCTGGGAGAGGAGAGGAGGAAGGGGGGGCAGAGAGGCAGAGATGCCACTCAGAAAGCGCAAAGTGGAGAGGGGTGAAGAAAGGTGTGAAGTCAAAACCAGCATGAGAATAAAGAAGATTACATGAAAACAAGTCAGTCATTGAGAGAAAGGGGGAGGTGTGAACCTAGTTTCAGGATGAGTTTTGTTTCTGTTGTTTTTCTGCAATGGAAGTTGAGAAACCCTTCTCTGTGAACCAAAAGTTTACATAGATTATGTGGTCAGCGGTTAGTGGAGTCACCATGGGCACCTCTTCCATTCAAGATAATTTAGGAGTACCTGGGAACAGCCATCCCTATAAAATTATTAATTTTCCTAATTTCCTAATGCAAATGTAACACATGGAATATTTTATCACCATTACCAAACATTATGTAAAAGCCCAACACAATAAACTGAAGTCCAATAGAAATATATGGAAAAGTTCCTCCATTTGCCTAAAAATCTTTTGTGTGTATCAAAGGCTTTGGCATCCAAGTGGAGTTTTTTCTTCATCTATAGTGTAACAACAAAGATGAAGAAAGACCTTGCAAGTACAGGATGTCCATCTCATCTCTGAGCTCCTCCACATCCCCTCCTGCAAAACGGCTCCCAAAGAATGGTGTTTCCACAAAGGCTCCATACCCAGAGTACCCCACTTCATGGCGGGTAATCTCACACCAGACCCCTGTGAAGGGAAGAGACACAGAGAAAAGGAGGAAGAACAGAAGAAGAGTGAAGTGAGAAAGGGTACCAGAACTAGAAAAACTCTTTCATCCCTAAATCGCTGCTAATCTCTAAACCCATTTTGAAGGCACTGAGGCCACTCTTGTGTGTCTATTTTTCTAATATTAAATGGTATTATTATTGTTAGTTAATAGATAAAATTTATATTCTTGTTGTTTTAATGTAATACCTTGTCCAACTTTTGTTGTAGTTGTTGAGTATATGAAAAATGTACTGAAAATGAGAACTGTAACATCCTGGTTGGAGGTCCATAAAAATTGTTTATACCCTTTATAAAATTAAAGTATATGGTAGTATGCATGGCTAGTTTGAAGGATATGAATCTCTAATTCCCAAACAGCCCTTGGTTGAATGGAAAAGAAAAATAAATTAAGGAATTTGGACACAATGGAGGAAATCATCTGCCTCAGGTATTTAAGGAGGAGAAGGTGTCAGGAACAGTTCTTTCCGGGCCCTATGCGGACGACACGATCCGAAAGGTGAAGAAACAATAGGGAAAAATATCATGCAGGAGTTGGTCAGGAGACAGGGGGGCGTGTCCAAGGTGAGCTGGTGTCCGGGGGAAGTGAGTCCGGGGCAAACAATCCAAGCATAAATCCAAAAGGGAAATCCAAAACGGAAGGCAAAGTCCAAGACCAGGGGATCCATCCAAAGTAGTTAAAAACCAGAACCAGGTCGGGACCAGCGGGACAAGGAATCAGGAACAAGAAACTAAAACCATAACGGAGCCAGATGCGGCAGGACCCCGGGCTCTCACGAAACGGGATTCAATGAGAAGCCCCGGGCAATCGCCTGCGTCTGGCTTTAAAGGTGGAACTAAAGAGGGGCTGGAATAAGAAACAGGTGTGGGGAATGGGAC